TGATATACATACCAAGTTTAATGAAGATTGGTACAGGCGTTCAAGAAATATTAAGGTTTTGCCTCAGAAATTCGAGAGGCCGTAATACTGGTGTTACTGATGGGAAGGGGGGATTTATAAACTACACCGTTTATATGGGCTCAGGCACCATGATATAATACCAAGTTACACAAAGACTGGTTTAGGAATTCAAAAGTTGTTAGGGGGGACACATATACGGACACTCAGACAGCAAGGTGATTCCATACGCCTACTTTTTTTCTTGAAAATAAGGAAAGTAGGTTAAAAAGTTAAGATTGGCCGATACACAGAAAATAAAAGTGTCTTTTGCCTATAAGTAGGCTGACATAACATGAAGACGCCAAGGATTTTGCGTATATTTCTCTGCAGGTAATTTAGTGGCCAGACTGATGTTTCGTTCTGACACCCATTCGATAAAACACCCGGCAGCATAACCTATACTGTTCGGTCGATCCTGTACCGTTAAGCAGGTAATTCAGTGCGCTCTCATCTTGTCCTGGATATGATAATAAGGAGGATCAGAAACATAAAAACGCTCCGGTATCAATGACGTCAAATTGTCCAGCTGATTTGCGCAAGACGCTTACTTCTGTCTACACACATACAAATTGAGCGGCCAACAGCTAGACGCCAGGGCGGGTCTAGAAGGGTGATTTGAGGTCTTCACAGGGATGTGAGTGGCAAAATTGTATCTCACCCTCCTTAATTTCTAACATAAAATTAAACTTTTGAAGTCGACTTCACTCACTCATGGAGCTGAGCCCTTCTTGAGGAGCCGCCAATTGTGCAGCTACTCAAGAACTTCCCAGCCTTTTTTGGAACCCGAAGGTTCATTACCATGTTCACAAGAGCCCTCCGCTGGTACTTATCTTCAGCCAGATCAATCCAACCCATAGCATCCTATGTTATCTCTCTAAAATTCATTTTAATACTGCCCACCCACCTACGCCTTGGTCTTCCCAGTGGTTCTTTCTTTCTGCGTTTCCCACCAATATACCACATGCATTCATCTTCTCCCCCATTCGTGCTACATGCCCTCCCTGCTTCATTCTTTTTGACTTGATTATTCTATTACGATTATAGAAGAGTACAAGTTATGAAGCTCCTCATTATGCAGTTTTCTCCAACCTCCTGTCACTTCATCTCTCTTCGGTCTAAATATACTCCTCAACACCCTGTTCTGAAATACCCTCAGTCTATGTACCTCCTTTAATGTCAGAGACAAAGTTTCACACCCATACAGAACCAGAGGAAAAATTACAGTGTTGTATATTGTAATTTTATATTTTTTGACAGCAGACGAGAAGGCAAAATTTTCTGGACTAAATGGTAGCAAGCACTACCCGAGTTCAATCTCCTCTTAATTTCCTCCTGAATCAGGTTTCGATTTGTTATAGTCGTTCCCAAATATCTGAACTGTGTGCACGTTTTCAAAACATCTGTTACCTATCTTTATCTACAGATCCTGTTGAAATTCGATGTGACATGCTCACTAATTTGCATGTAATTATTTCTATTATTAAGTATAAGAGCACCACTGATAATTTTGTAATACATAAGAGAATACACCTTTTCTAGTACGTACTGAAGTCCCCACAGCACTGGCTATGCGGAGTTCTGTCCTGTAGGACAGTGGTTCCCAACCTGTGGTCCGCGGACCCCCGGGGGTCCGCGAGTAATTCAAAAGGGGTCCGCGGGATAGTTTATTTTCATTAAATTTTATCTTATCATGTTCCTCCCACCTGGGATATTTGCAGTGTATATCTCTGGCTCTTGAGGCCCATGGTTGAAGTAAAATTTAACGGGACTGTTGGTACCGTGACGGTACCTTCCCTTTGTAAAGCAGAGGCGAATAACCAACGATTTGTGTAGCTTTTTCCAAGGACATTTTCTTTTGGTCGACCCATTACATCTCGAACCCGTGTTTCAGGGTGGACTGTTGTCCTTATCTGCTGTCTAACCAGTCTCCCCCCCCCCAAATCCATCCCTCTTTCCTTGGGAATGAAGCTGGGACCATTGACCACGTTTCTAATTAATTTCAGTGGCAGAGTGAACAACCCGTGTGTCTTTAGTTTTTGTGCAGTGGATTTTTATAATATTATACAAGTGTGTTTTTCTCGGTTTAATATTCAGTTTTTCTGCTCTTGTTCAAGTACACGTAATTGAGTTCACAACGAAACTTCTGGTTTTCAGTTTGTTCACGATCTTATTTAGATATGGATCGGTGGTTAAAGTGTGGATCGTTGATTAGGTGAGTGTTAAATTCATAATATTAGGCCTAATTGACATGTTCGTGATCTTCCGAATAAGCTCCATTTATAAAAGTATTTTATTGTCAGAAATGACACATTTAGTGTTGTAAAATTGTAAGTAAAATTTTCCATTTTGGGTTTTAAGGGGGGCGTGGTCAATTAACATTCGGTACAGGGGGTCCGCGGCATCAAAAAGGTTGGGAAACACTGCTCTAGGATATAATGCCAATTTCATACTAAATCACCATTAAGCTATTGATTAATTTCATCGAACATTGCGGGAGAGTGAGCGTTCAGAACATTCCGTGTCTTAATTTCGAACCAGAGACTACTAGTTCAGACTGCATTCTTCGTCGTCTTCGTCATTCCCGTGCAATACGTCACAATAACTTCCCTGCCACCGTGAAATTACACTGTTGCTGCCAGCTGTCCACCATTTTAAGAAACTGGGGACACGATACCGGAACGATATATGGACCACACTGCCATCTTCCTACCATTTGACTACCTCCGTACTCCGAACTAACGCGATACTTCAATGCGAACTGAATCGTGCTGGCATCTGTCCGATAGCTGTAGAAGTTTGCCTTTGCTTGTCTTTGCACGTATATTTATACAAAAATCGTTATATAACTTAAAGTGGCGTTAATTTATATCGAGAATTACCACATAAACTATTACAGAATATATATCCTCTTATATACAGATAAACATACGTATCAACAAAGATAAAGATTGTTGACAACGGGTGGAAGGGAGAGAGAGAGAGAGTTGTGGCGTGAGAAGCAAACTAAATCGTTCTGCCATCTATTTGTCATTTTCTAAAGTTTGTTTTCTATATTACTGCATATCTTTGTTACTAATATTTATAGAGAAATAACTATATTATTTCAATTACAACAATATATTTGCATAATTGTTACTATAAATGTTACAATAACGTGTTATATGCAGACTATGACATAAATGTGTAACTATATGTAGCTTATGGAAACGAGCTGATGTCGGCTGGGAGTCGTGGCGTGCTCCTGTAATCCAGCTACTTGGAAGCCGGGTATCGAGGATGATTTGAGGTTGGGAGTTCTGGTGCTCAGTGACTCACGGTGACTGGGTGTCCGCACTAAGCTCAGCATCAATATGGGCGCCTTGGGGGAGCCTGAGGCGGCCAGGTTGGTTAATGAGGGGCGTACAGGGCCAGGGGGGAAACCCAGCAGCCAGAAGTCCCCGTGTTGAGCAGTAGTGGGATCGCGCTCGGGAGTGGGAGCTGTGTGGCAGCCTAGCCAACATAGTCAGACCGATACCTTTTTTTTTTCTTCGTTTCCACTTTTCTTTCTTCTGCTTCAAAAATGAAATAAATTATAAATTACAAGTTAAATCTCAAGACATTTTTTGAAGAATATACTGCATCTAAGGTTCATTCGGACGACTGTTTGAACCACATGCCTTGTAATTTATTGTTACTTTTATGGGCGCAGGCAGAGGAGGGGCAAGATAGTCATTTGCCCTCCCCATTATTTTTTTAACAAAAAAGAATGAAATGAACCAAATATTAATACCAAAAATGAAAAATTTTCATTAAAATTTTCTATCATGAATACTCTACGACGATCTTTAAAAAGAGTATTACACGATCTAGAGTTAAGTTTGTTAGCAAATTTCCTGGCTTCCACCCCTTGGAAAAACATCCAGGTGGTGACCATGGTTACTTTACAACATTGTATTTATGTGGCATCGAAAGTGGGTACGGTAGGATGATTATGAATAATTCTGTTAAAGGTAAAGTAAGGAAAAACTATCCCTGTAACAAGCCGTGAAGGCCCAGAGGGTTGTGAGATGTCTAGGCTCCCACATTTTCTCTAGACAGTCGGTTCACAAATGGCGGTAAGGTTGTCCGCCTAACGCGTCGGCCACCCTTTACTCCCCAGGAAGATACTCATTTCTGTTAGAGGCTGAGACCTCAGGGGCATAGTGCTAATGGAAGGATGAGGTAAATCGAAAAAAAAAAATAATAAAAACTCATTGGGACTCGAACCTGCGACCTTCCGGCTTTTAGCATACTTCCTTAATCAATTACGCTACCGCATTGAATTGAGTATTATTTTTTAGGGAACAAGTGATCTTGGTAAATTTTTAGATGCTATACAGGATTTCATCTGGATGTAGGATTTGACATTTTTTTCAGGGGTGGTTATGAAGATATCTGTCTTCTGGGCTATAACGCCGTGTAGTCCGTTGAAAGTCAACCTATATTTCGGAGGTGTAAGTCGCCTCTTTTTTTCAGGGTTCAAGGATAAACGGAATAAGAAACCAAATTGATCCCTGTTTGCCACCTGCTTAACGCTGGTTTCTTACTCGGTTTATTCTTCGACCTTGAAGAATGAGACGACATGCTCTTCCGAAACGACTTTCAAGGGACTACACGGATTATATCCTAGAAGAGGAAATTCATCATCTGAATGGCGTGAGAAAACAAAAAGTGTTAGTGAAGACAGACTGTTGCAGGCCGAATTTCCGACTTGCACCCCTATAGTGTGACACAAACCGTTACTGCTGTGGTAATCTGCTTGATGGGAAGCCTATGCTTAGGGAGGTAATGCTTACTGTTTGAGCTGTTGTTGATGTAATAACAATAATAATTCAGATTCAACTGTTTATTTATTTACGTGCTTACTCAACAGCCGAAGGCTAATTATTAAGTAAGCAAGAGAAACAAAAACAAGAAACATATACACAAGCAAGGACAGAACAAAGCAAATATCGTTTAGACAATAACAAGAATTCAGTACGTTCAATCACGCTAACCATTATGCTGTGAAGAAAATATTGTATGTTGAAGGTACATGGGAAATTCGTTAAAATTCTGAGTCTAAGAACGCTTACTGGTGAACCTTGCGAGCCTTCTCATTCGTTCCTACAAATTCCCTAACATAATGTGAACATTTTTAGACGTGCGCATTTGGCTGTACACGCACACACTTTGATAATATACAGAATTATGTGCCTGGAATAGATACCGTGCGTTTAATACCACACACTTTTCGATCGATTAGTATGCCTGTCCCTGTAGCTTTTGCAATAAAGTGTGAAGGCCACACTCCAACAGCAGGATCAAAATGGCGATCAGAATACCAGACGCAAGAATCGTGAATATTGGCGCCATTGCTGTGAAAGTAATGCCGTAAGACGTTTTGTTTATTCTGGGCACGTCACTTTGCCAGTAGAGCTGACGTAGTCTGTGCAGCACGCCACTGAGCAACATATGTCTCAGGCTGGAACAACAGTAAATCCTTTTAATAGTACTATACATATTTATTATCATCATCATAATTATTATTAGTGGGATGAGACTGAGTCCACTTAGTACTGCGGCCACAGTTACTGGCCTATTGAACCGGCCCCAGACGATAGATGATGGTGACTGTAGAGCAGTCAGTAGAATGAAGATTGGTAAGGGAAACCGAAGTACATCTGCCTCCCCCCCCCACCCCCCGTGCCTATATCAACTAGCCGAATGTACTTTTTGTTAGCAAAACATTCGTTTGAACAGAATATCCATATGACTAAGAGGGTGTAGGGGGAACTACCCTGGAAGGGGGAAGCATAACGAATAGACGGAGATATGGAGTAAGGTCGATCGGTTGGACATCTTTCCGTGGCCTCAGTATAGTTTAAGCAGTCTGACAACCGACAGCGTCGTTAAATAAATAATAAAAAATCTGTCATATTTTATATTTATGACGATTTTATGAAGACATTGTTATACTTGATTTCTGTGACCGACTGACTGGGACTTGTCTTCCTTAGAAACTGAATTTTTCTTACTTGTGATTGAACAGGTTTTTATAAGGACTCCTTTTCTTGAGGGCCATTGATACGCTGCCAGGGAGAGTGGTGTGGGGTACCTTCTGAATGTTGCACGGTACGTCACCGCTCCGAAGCCTCATCAGCCACATGTCTGAAGTGACGAGTGCATACTTATCTTCTGCACACAGACGCACAAAGCCTTGCAGTGCGTTGTCATGGAAATGGTCTTTCTTTCTTGCTATTAGTTTAAGATACAGCGCTCTCATTACAGCGTTTCTTGATTCCTGTGAAAGAAATGTGGGTAAAGTTCCAAAAAGAAGTACGATGGTCATCTGACACTGTAGTCCGAAGACATTATAAGAGAAATAAATACTATTTCTGATAGTGAAATACTCGATTTGGGTTTTCTTAAAATAAACAGCACTGAAGTAATGAAATTGCTTACTTTGCTGAAAAAGATGATAAGGTTCATCGGGCATTTAGCATGCACGGGACAGAAGAGATATACACACAGAGTTTTGGTCGAAAAGCTGTTGGGAAGAGGCCCATCAGATGATCTAGGCGTAAGCGACAGAGTAATATTAAAGTGGATCTCGGAAGTTTGCGCCCTGGATTCATCTTAAATTAATACGGTTTTATGAAAGCGTCAGTAATAACTTAGATAAATGACTAGTGGCTTCTAATGAAGGAACCAGCTCCATGGATTTAGTTAGTGAGAAATATTAATGTGAATTTAAAGTGTCGTTTGCAGTCTCCATCACATATTTAACGTTACCGACTGTTGTGATTGAACTCAGTTTGTAATATTAGGGCTAATAGTAAGATATTTATTCCACTTTGTCATTGGAGAAACTGCTGAGTCTTGTCCCTGATTCGTCGCACGTGGAGCTTAGGTGAACCTTGTAACCACTGACGTAAGATGTAAAATGTTCAGGCATTCCTTTCAATGTTAATTGTACTGGTCCTTACACTGAAGTAAGATATTTCCGCGCCCTTTGTGACACCAAGTTTGTACGTTCCGTCTTCAAGCAAACCCTGGAAGCTGTTGAAGGGCAGTTCGCCTCTCTGCACCGTCAGGAAGGACACCAAGGCAGCAGAGTAGGCAGCGACAAGCACCAGACCCACTACATAGGACGTGAAGTACACGATGCGACAAGGCCAAGATCGTGGGATTGATTCTCGACCTGCAGACATATATATCTGTCAGTTCCAGCTGAGAAAATACTAAAAGTATTTCAGCAATGTTTGATGATGGGGCCTACATTAAATGTAAACAATTCTGTCTTGTGGGATTCCGTATTCCGTATTGAGGGGGTGGGTTTCCCCATGCACTTAGACCGGTTACTGGTCCATTGTGCGTCCCCCTTTAATTTCTACTGTCTCCATACCCTACCGGTACTGGTGCTTACTATCAGCCCCTTTCTGCCAGCGAGGTTCCAACCTCTTACTGGCAGTGGTATCTAATAGTTAGTCCCTTTCTGTCAGCGAGGTCGTCCCTCCTCTGGCAGGGGTTCCTAGTCCCTTTCTGAGTCTTGTGGGATACTGCAATTGCTGCCTGCTTCATGTTAGTTTCTTGGTTGGTTTATTTTCGACTCTGAAGATGGAGACGATATATTCTTTCTAAATGTCGGCAGATTTTCAACGAACTATACGGCATTTTATTCCACAAGATAGAACTCTTGATCTGTATCTTGTTTCGAACCGCATATAAATGAAAGTTTATATAACATATTTCAAAGGAAATACTTGAAATAGGAAATAGCAAGAGAGGAGCAAGAAAAGCAGTGACAGAAATTACAGGGAAGCAGAAAATTATTATGGTAGGTGACGGGCGACAAATTCGCGGAATGAAAGACGAGAAGATTGAGATATAATTTATCGCGATAGATAATTTTTGTTATAAATATTAATATTTCCATGTGAGTAAGTTTTAAAAAATGGTTCAAACACGTGATCACTATGTTTTGAATCTGTTCTATATAGTATTATCTGCTTGTTATTGATCACAAAAGAATATTAAAGAAAGTATAACATTTATATATTACCTTGACCACAAAAAGCTCCATATACGCAGTAAATTAACTCCCATAAATTCTCATCTTGTGAGTCAGTGTTCCCATAGTAACTTCTGAGTTTATGGGACGTGAGCAGTAACACGGTCAGGAAAATGATGGCTGCAACTATGGCAAACCATAGCTGCAGTTTGAATGGAGCGAGGAAGCTGCTCCAGTGTAACTCCAGTGTTTCCGTCTCACGGACGTATAGGTTAGTGCTGCACAAAAGTACGTACATCAGAAGCATTATGTTGGTCTTATTGTATGATTATTTGCGCTGTCTATAGAGATTAGAATAGATCACAAATCTCTTTTACAAATTTCAAATAAACAGTTTTAGAATTAACGTATTTGAAAAATTATATCCTTTCTTTTTTGAGCCCGTAAAAATTGCCGCCAATACGTAAACATGCCGAATGGTACCTAAGGGCTAACCGTGCCCACAGTCAAACATAGCCAGTAAAGGTAAAATTGACCTTGTGCTTAATTCTTACCACGTTTTTTTGTTCTAATTGTGGAAGCATCTGAAAGTAGCTCTTTTTCCATCATGACTATCATGGGCTTCTTCATTTTTATAAGAAATTCTGTGAAGAACTAATAGCATACTTTCCTTTAATACGAAACGGTCCAGAAAGAAAACGACTTGTTAAAAACTCCTTTATTGCTGGCTGCTTATTCGCTGCCGTGGGAGAGTGTTACCAAGCCATTGATTAGCAACAATAAAGAGATGCAGAGACAGACAGCAAGGTGATTTCATAAGCCTTCTTTTATTTTTTAAAGTGAGGAATATAGGTTAATTGCTGGTGATATGTCCAATACAAATAACATATATATAATACGTGAACTCAGAATAATAACATACTACGTATTATATGTGCTTTCTTGTGCTGAATGCCAGCAAAAGGAAGGCGTCATTGCGTGTCTGTGTTCATGTATCTGTTTCCGTCTTACCAAGGAAAATAACAATTGTATTAGAAAATATAAGTAGAATAAGAAGAGATGTAATTGGATGAAAAAGTGGGTTAAGAAATGGAATCCATTCGGTGCATCTAATGCATTCATTAGTAAGCCGGCCCCAGAAGACAATGTAACTCATACAAATTCTTAAGAATGTCAGTGAAAAAAAAAAAATATTAGTTGTGTTTCGGTCGAGATGGCAGATCAAACTTACTTGACTGGGAAAGCAATATTAGACCCATTAAAACCTAAAATCACATGCACTCACTTCCTGCCAGCTCCCAGTATTTAAACCATGCTCCATAAACCTCAGTACTTTTTGTATTTTCTGTCATAGTTTTTAGTTATCCACTATATTGTAGCGGCTATACGTCGCAAGAAGCCGCTAGTTTTTTAAATCCATTATAATTTAGCCCTGTACAAATCATCATTTCCTGCGCCAGTCCCTTTTATCTTCACATTTCATTTCATAATTTTTAAATCATAATTTATATATTTTTAACTCAATCACCTTAGCTCCTTATGTTTAGTTCTTCAGGCAATTTGGCCGTCCCTTCATCTACCACGTTTTTGTCACAATATTTGCTGCGTTCACTTTCTCTTAACCTTTTGTTTCTTCTTCGTACACTCCCAACATTTTTAAATCCCTTAATTGTTTTGCTACTTTTAAAACTTTCACATATCGTTAAGAAACCATAATATTTCAGACTGCTTCTCAGTAATATCCACAGAGGAAACCCAGTTTACTTCAAGAAAAGTAAAGAACCAATTTATAGAAAAATGGAACACATTTTGTCCAGGACAATTTTTCCTTATTAGTTACGGTTTGTGAGATGAAGCAACAAACAAAAGCAATCGTGTCAGAAACGTACATATTTTAATGAATTTAATCAATCATATTCGTAAGTACTTGTCTATCATTATTGGTATAAGAAAGTCCACCAGATTCATTCTGCTGGGGTACATTGTCAGCCCCCCAACAGCTGCATCCACTTCTCTTCTGGCAACTATTCCAACCATTCCAAACCATGTCCCATTCTCCGATTGCATGGCCCAATCCTCTTCTTTGGTTTCGACATACCTGGAGCTGGGGAACAGAAAAAGTGCACCGCTTGAGTCATAAAATGCATTATGTACTGAACCGATCTAAACCATTTCTCCGCCACTTTATTTCCTGGGTTGAATGAATAATCCGCGGGTTTATCTTCTGCGTTCTAAGTAATAAATTAAACGAGCCGCAGACCGGTGTAAACTAAACACTTATGCTAGCATGTAGAACCTAATGCCGCGCCATAGCTCAAGCGGTTAGTCGCTGGCTTCCCACAGCGGTGGCCCGAGTTAGATCCCGGGTCTGGTCAAGTGGGATTTGTGGTGGACAAATTGGCGCTGGGGCGGGTTTTCTCCAAGTACTTCGGTTTCCCCTGCCAATCTTCATTCCACCAATTGCTCCACAATCACCCTCACCTATCATCTGAGGCTGGTACAATAGGCCAGAAGTGGCCTCAGTACAAGGGACTTAGTCCCACCCCACTAGCAATAAAAAAAATATGTGGAACCTACAAGTCAAGGAAATTTTTTCTAATGAAAATTCAGGTGACTAGGTCTTGGAAATAACTTCCTAAACATTCAAGCAAAAATTTTATATGTTCGAAGCCAGTCATGTCATTAATCTCTTTTGACTTTCACCCCTTTATTTGCTGGTTTGTGCGAGTCTCACGGTTCTTCGTAATTAATTGTGATTAATTTACTGTGTCATGGGAGACATATGGAAGGTGGGGTTTGAGATCCCTGTTAGTAGGGTTGATGCAGTTCCTGGCAAGTAAGAGGCGCTAGAATAAACAAAAATGAGGAGAATGATTATTAACTCGGGGACGACACTCGAATGTACTTATTTCATACACCTGCAATCAACATATGAATAAGAGCGAATAGTTGCAAATTGAACACTTATGAAGTCAATCAGAATGCATGCATATGAATCCGAAGGCTCACGTTATTGACCTCTTGTCAACTAAAGTTTTATTTGGTAAATACGAGAAAACAGTGAACTGATGCTGCCATATTTGTCACAACTAAAACATACGAAACTTACGAGAAGTTCAGACGCTCTTCCAATGATCTCCAAATCTCGCCAAAAAACCCGGTGATTCCAAAAGTTCTGCCCTGCTTGTCTCTTTTCAGTGTCGTGGGAACATCCATCTGTTAGACGAAAACGTCATTGTATTTTACATGAAATAGATGTTTGCACTAAAATATAGAGACGAATTCTTAAGAAATACTTAATTAATAACAACGATGTTCGATACTACTAGTGCCTCATATGGAACAACTAGGGATAATATTAACATAGATACAGATAGGTCGCGGGTTCAAGTCCCGATGAGGTCATTGGATTTTTTCAGTACTAATAACCGACACTGTTAACCTAAAATAGCGTTCATCTTCGTTAGGTTCACAATCCAGCATCAGTATTATCCACTCTGCGATTAATTGCATCCCCATCTTCGTTAGAGCAAAGCTTGGTCGGGAACTAAGGAGATCTCACCTCCGACACTACCACTCGAAGTTGCAGGCCATGGAGATTCTTCCTCCGTTTGTAGAAACCGATGGTTCTCCATTGCAGGCCCTGCTGGAGGGACCAGTTCCCAACAATGTGCTCTTTCAGAGTGGATACCTTGCTGATATGGTACACCTCTTTCAGCTGCACAGTTCCATTCTTTAGACAGCGAGCCACCAGGAATTCACAGTCCAGAGGAATGAAAAGACGCTGAAAGATATCATCCATAGCGCCGGCTTCCGGTAAGAAGAGTATCCATTCTGCCATTGTCAATTGTACTGTTGCCAATACCTTGAAGATTACATAAAAGAAAATGTGAATTATAACATTGATCTGACAGATATTTCAAAGTTTATCATTCCCAGCTACACAAATCAGTGTTTCTATAGCAACGGGTTGTGGCTTATAGTAAAACACACTCTTTCGAAACACAGATCTGACTTCACAAAGTGAGATTTTATGAGCAGTGCGCAACCTCAGAACGGTTTTGTGCTTCTAAATGGCTGCTAGCTAGAGTGTAAAGAATTCAAAGCCTGCAAGCTCAATTTTAAAACACTACTGTTACATTACTTTCAATTTACGAATTATATTAAACATAAACTCTAAACGTAAAATTATCCTTATGATAATTAAGCACCACGATAAGAAGAATTATGCGGAATATAAATTCAATTTTTTTTTTTACCTCGATATTAGACGGAAGTGGGTAGTCAGCTTCACGCACTGGCCCCTTTTTCCAAGGGGAAATTACCACCATCATACCCATTGGATAGGAAGCTGAGTTGGCCCCACAGCCAGTCTGGATGTTATGGAGTACAGTAGAGTAGCCTATTGTACCAGCCCCGGATGATGATAAATTTGGAGCAGTCGGTGGAATAAGAAGTGACAGGGGAAATCTAAATACTAGGAGAAAACCTGCCCCACTGCCACTTTGTCCACAACAAATCCAACATGACCTGACCTGGTCTCGAACCCGGGCCGCTGCGGTGGGTAACCAGCGACTAACCGCCTGTGTTATGCACGGCTTAATATTAATAGTGCCACGTATCCTGGTAACGCGACAAGTTATTAACGGGTTCCGGATTAGATGAATCGATTTATTATACAATTTCACCAGGCGGAACTACAATTAGTTGTAACACAACTTACTGCAACTATTAACACTTCGCAACTACGAACAATGATAACACTCTAAAGGTTACTGTAACTAGACCACATAAAATTAAGACGTCACTTCTGACTTCTGCCTGTCTTCTGTCGTAATCTGTCTTATGTTAAGTCAAAGTCACTTTGCGACTGACGGCCAGTCAGTCATTAAGTCTTGGTGTTGATCACGCTCCTGGGCCTCATGACCAGATATTTATTACTGTTTGACAGCTACGGTTTTTTTTTTTGTGGACGACCTCTCTGACGAGAGGACGGGTATGTCTTTTATATATGCTGCTGGTCCTTGCCAGAGCAGTTTTTCTCGGGTCCGAGTCCCTTGGTATATTACCGTCTCTGTCTTATGTTGGTCAGTTCTCCACCTGAAGTAGGTTATGGTCGAACCGAGTGGAGATCACCTCATTCAACAGTAGAG